TGAATTTCGCGGAAAGTTACACGAGGGCTATCTGCGCTAGCCGTCCCTAATTTAGAAGTGATAATTTAGAAGTAAGTCAACAAAACCCACCGCCAACTCTTTTAAGTGTATCTGTTCCGAGACTTCGTATTCATACACAACGAAACTATTATATGGCAATCGAAAGATTAAAAGTAGGCCTAGTAATTGTTCTGACTTATTTCCTGCAGCTAGTCATCACCACCCACCGCCAATTTTCGGGGTACTCTTTTACCAACGAATAGTGGGATTGACCAAAACATTATAACGCCCCCCACGGCTGAAAGGGCGAGCATGTTTGGTGGGACGGGGATTCGAACCCACGACCCTCAGATTGCGAGTCGAGCGGCCTAATTACCTGGCCAAAACAGGAAAAATAGCCATTCTGTTTAAAAAATTTGCATGATGTTTCGGCATTCGGTTCCAATGAATTCTTTATCACAAATTGTTTATAAATCTGTTATTCAGACAGTGGGTAATACTACACTTTATAGTAGGTTGATGATGTGACTAGAAATCTAAATATGTATTAGTAGTGGTTAGTTTACAGTACACGGATGTAGTTCGTTTGTCATTTTGCTTACTGATGATAACGTCAGGATTAAGAGGCTATTGTGGTTCTATTTTTCTATAGCAAAACGAATCCTGTTGTCTATAGAGTTTGGTATTGTATGAAGGCAGGAAAGTTTTCATGATTATTGGGAATATTAATTGTTGTTAATTCGGCATATATAAAACTGACTTTCTGGTCTGTTGAGGTGACGGCTTCTTATTCAACTTCTTCAATAAAATTATCTGCCAAATTTGAAGAATATAGTGATCCCATGATAAGGCTGTGTATTTGTTCACAAATTCATTGTTAAATTGAAAGTAGGCGGATTTTAGTCAAACCACGGTTAGCTTCATGATGGCACTTATCTTCACGTCAGTTCTATCATTCAGCACTCACTGTTCAATGATGTGAAATATTTCTATGGTTGGAACATTAGTTAACAGATGCGTAACATCAAAACTGACAAGAAGATCTTGGCGCTTATGTGTATCCAAGTTGTTAAATGAACTTTTCAGTTATGAACAAAGTGGTTCATTGTTACTCAAAGTGGTGACAGGATAGGCACCAGAGTGGTTGCTAGGTGATGAGAAGGTGAGTTTATTGCACTGACAGTATCTTGGGTTCGTGGATCTTAGACATTCCTTAAAATTATGTCACCCTGAAACAGGTAATTGTCATCCATTTCACCATTGTTTCACTGAATTAAAACATACATTACATCAAATGGAAGTTATTTAAAACAATTACGAAACCGATCTTGAAGTGAGTACAGGATTATCCCGTGTATGGATGACACTCCTGGATGATGCAGTAATCTTAATTTCAGGATCTTTCTCCTAGTTATAGGCTCTCTCTTGTCACATGTATTGATTGTGGTGGGCATGTTACATCATCATAAGCTGATGTATCAGACGTTTGAGCAATGCATT